TCCCTAGTAGAATCAGCTGTAAGATGTAGCTCTTCACTGCATAATAAAGCATAAAAATCATCTAGGGAAATGGGATTCAGCTGAGTTCTTTATGGCCAATCAGAACCTTTGATTGCTAACCACCTTCTACATATATACTGTATTCATCTTCTATAGAAGGATGGAGAATTAAATGCTTAATTAGCTTCTTTCTGTATTTCTTCTTTCTACTGTTTGCTTTAGCTAATCTACAGGATTCTTCATGGTATCAGTCTCTTCCTAAAACGCGTCAGATTTCATATATGTATGATTTTATCAATTTTCCTGTCATTTAGTAGAAATCATGATAGTTTTCAATTATCAGTATTTTGTGTGGGTCTCAACCTATATAAATGAATGAGTAGAGCACCATGTAATTATGAAGCTTTAATTGATGATGACCATTAAATTTTCAGAAATTAATAGATGTATATGGCATATTCAAGGAGCGAGATATATTGAAAATTATCTTCTATCCTACACTTATTTTTTTATTTTTTTGATCTTCTATGCTACACATGTTGCTTGAAGTTTTTTCACTTAGGGTTTGCAATATCTTTGGGCATATTTTTAGAATTGATAATCAATTCTTTCTCTTGAGGGAATTTACCACCAAAGAATAAGTATGAAGTTAAAGAAAATTATGGATGAATCCTTTCTTAGATATACAAAAAAAATATGGCATATTGGGGAGAATAATCTAATTTTACATTGTTATCTATGATGCTTCAACTATTGAGCATATTGCTTATCTAACAAAAGCCTGGGTTCCAGAGGCTTTGAAAATTTTTTCGAAAGATGCAAATTGAGTTAGATTATTCTCGTGTAAATGTACTTCAAAGATTTGCATTGAGATTAGTGTTATTCGAGATATCATATCCAATACTAATCTTAGAGCAAACCAAGGGACCAAGGGCTTTGAAGGACAACTTGATGTGCTTTATATCAGAATATCCTGACATTTTTTTCCGTTTAGAAGCCTGTAGAAGCTACCATATGCTTCTAAGAAGATTCCAAAACATCATGAGAATATTCTAATAAAATGAGAGAGGATCAACTCAAAATTCAATAACTGCTAAGAAATGGGGATCGACAAAAGCAATACAGAAGGAAAAGAGGCTCCATAATATGGAGGATGATGGACAAAAGTATGCACAAAGCATTGAAACACTCTTCCTATATATTCTTCTTTTATGATTTGTTGCTATTTTCATGCATCAGGACCTATTTTAATATAATGCATGGTTTCTTTGAATTCAAGCCCAAGTTAAAATCATGTGACAAAATCAGTGACATATATGTTGGAACATATATTATTATTATTATTATTATTATTATTATTATTATTATTATTATTATTATTTGAGTTGTTTGAATGAAACGGTTATTTTGATTGCAAGTATGTGCTCTCTTTAAATTAATCTTTTGGATGTTTTTAATTTAATTTCAATAGCTTTTATCCTTTTTTTTATTTTTTATTTTTTATTTTTTAGCTTTGATCCTTATGTTTACATAAAAACTTAAGCTTAGACTGCAGGAATTTAACGTTACTAGCATTAATATTAATGAAAAATAGCACCGTGATTGCTAATTTATTATTTTCACGAAATTATATTGAAGATAGAAAATATTAAATGAATAAAATTTTTTTATTGTACCAAAAAAATAAAAAGGCAAATTATTGAAACATTTATTGAAAAAAAGATATTTTTTAAACGCTCCTTACAGAAATTTCATCCAAAATAAGATGGCTTGATACGGCGTTAAAAATCAATTGATCAAGTACTAAGCTTGAGACATTTGAATTGTAAACTCCAAAAATCACCCTGATCAAGCACTAATCTCGATGCATATTGGAATAGAAAATTTTCAAACTAAAATTTGGGAACATCCAAATATCTATCTCAGCAACCATACAGTCAAACTGAAAGTCTCAAACAAGACAAACCCAATGTCACTTAAATCGGCCTAGTCTGAGTTCAAATGAGCTCAAATCAATGGACTAAAGTATATTTGAAAGTTTCAAAGCATTAATTGGGAGAGTAGATAATCTTCAAATATGACATGTTTATACCCTAAAAGTGCAGCATGTTCGTGAAACAGCATGGCTTATGATCATCATTTGTCAGAATAAAGTTCATTACGTTCCAGGCATGAGGCATTGAAATGAATACCTTCAACGGGTATTAAAATGTTCTCATCTGCTTTGAATTCAAGATTTTCTAAGCAGAAAAAATTCATTTATTTAGTGTTTATACGTAAAATCTACAAGCTCTAATAAACACATAGATTCAGCCAGGCTTCTAGACTGGGGCGGATCCACCTTAAACCTAGAAAAAATAAAAAAATTCTTTATTATATGATTTTTTAGATAATATGTCCCCCTCGATGTAGTTTTTAGTCTTTATTATAAGGGTTTTTAGGCAATCACCCGGCGGCTAAAAGTTTTAAAATACTATTATCTTTAGACAATTGCATCAACATAATTAAACACATTGTGTATATATGTTATTGTTAGGAAATGATAAATCAAATACAAAGAAAAATAAT